GTGTTGATGCATCACCCTTTTCATATTTAACAGTGAGACTAGAAGGACTAGAGGACACAAATATAAATTTTAGCAAGGGAGGAGTCATCTTCAGCTGAGACAATTTCATTTTTCTAACAGGGGGGTTGGCCTTTGGTATGGGTTGCCTTCAGATGTTGTACTGGTAGTAAATTTAAGTGAGTTTAAGAAAAAGCTTGTTAAGTATATGAATGATAAGGGCTGGCTTTCAGATTCTTTTCTTTTCTTTTAATTATATTAATTTAGTTTAGAGGATGGAATGGCTGAGATGGACCAATAAGTTCCACGTTGTCCCAAAACATTATGTTATGTTATAAATAGTAAAAAATAAAAGTTACTGCTTATAACCTCTTAAAACACATATATTTTATTGTTAATTGTTTTAGCCATATTCTTATTGTTAATGTTCTACACGTCAAATTTAGATTAAATTTCGTTATGCCTATTTGTGATATTGATGTGTACAAAAAATAATCAAAAACAACAAAACTAATGGTATATTTGTATTTTTCTATCTACCTTTTTATAATAAAAATGAGCTTAATACAACACTAAAGTAATTAACAAAAATTAATCCATTATCATTAAAATTATTCAAAACAAAAAAAGTTTTAGTTCCATCAGAACTTACATTCATAAAACTTAACCATTCGTCTAACAAGTGTTAAAAATATTTCATTTTTTAATGCAAAACATAGTTAATTTGCTAAAGTAAAAATGAGCTGTCTCTCTTCCATACATGATGAACATAAAACTGTATTGAAAAAAACCAATAATCAGTAGAAGCTTTTTATTACAAGCCATGATTGAACATACACTTTTACAATTTCTTTGCATATGGAAATTTGAAATATATTTTTCATGGATTAAAAGCATCTGAGGATCAAAGAAATTTTAAAATTCATTAATAAAGTTATTATTATGTATTTCGAGAATAAAGTTAAGTATTTAGTAAAATAAAATATACATTTCACAATACATAATACAGTGTCTGTAGGTTATTACTTCACAATTATAATTAATCATTAACCAATTATAATAATGGATTTGTGAATATTGCAACTGTCAGAACCAAACCAATAATAAGTTATACTTTTGAAAATGTTGAAGTGAAAAATACATCAAGACCATGATTATCATTTTTGCTGTCAACATGTGTTTTTATCGATGATTAGTAAGAAGAAATTTAACTAATGAGTTTATTTGTGAGTTAGGCTTTCCATTAGTTTCAGCATTTCTGTTCCAATTTTGTTTGTAAAATTAGGCCTACAAGTGAAAGTAGCTGTAGCAAACGTTAAAGAAAAATAAAATAATTTGTTTTTGTTATATGGATTGAGCTTGATATTAGTTTTACCAAATGATCCAGAAGAACTCACTCATTGATAGAACATGTTACAACAGTAGTGAAAGAAGTGAGATTATTTTGGTGTAAATAAAAGAACTCTGACATAACTTGTAGATTACTAACTTTCATCACATTTCAAAAAGATGTCATAACATATGCCTTCTAGCAACAATTATCCAAATTAAAATACTAAAAATATAGCTCACAACAATAAGTTTACTTAATCAAAACTATTATGATTGGTAAGCCATACATGAAAACAACTGTAAAACTTGAACTGTATAAAGGAAATAGGCAATTTTATGATGTGCTCCAGCATTAGTGGAGAATTCAAAATCTATTTTATTTTAAAGGATCATACTTATTTAAAACATACTAGAAAATATCAAAACTCATACTGAAAATATAACAAATTGTTGACCAGAAAATTTCTGCTGAGGTGCTTTTTAGAAATTAGAAAAAAAAAACAATTTAGTAAAATTAAAAGACAACAATACAAAAATAAGTTTGTTACAAACAAATGTGAAAAAAGGCCTTTTACTTAATCAATTTTTTTTCATAAAACTTAACCAGCTGTCATGCTCAAATGCTGTATTCTGAAATTCGTCTTGGTAAATAAAGAGATACATATCGTGTATAAAACTATCTAACCAAACAAGAGTTTGATATTATTGTATTTTAATACTGTTTACTTGAGGCCGTCCAAGTTACACTCACTTATAATACAGGTTAGCATTGTACGAGGCTAGAAAACGAGGCCATTCACCGATTTGGTAATTTACTCACGTGCTTATACTAACGTAAAGATTTTGTAATCGTCATTTAACTAATCATTTTTATACTTCATTTATTTTTAATTTTGCATTCAATATTTAAGAAAGATAAAAATATAACCGTATAACTCTGTGCTTTATACAAATGTAAAACAAAAAGGTGCACGTATTTTATTAATAATCACTATGCGTGAAATTAATGAAAAAACATTAAAAACAAGGTATGAAAATCTCCGAGACGCGATCATGATTTTATGTGTGACTATCATATTAGTATACCGATACTATTTATATATCGTTCAAAAACAAATTTAAGATTTGTTAAAAGGTACAATATTTTATAATATATCAAGCCTTCAAGTTCATACATGTAAAACAGCACAGATAATCTACTTGCACTGCAAGTTAATGAAAACGACAGAGCATGAAATAAGGCAGTGGACCAGTGATTACGGAATTCAGTGCATATACTGTTACATCCTATACTCTACAATACAGTGAAAACTTAATATGCGTTTAAATAAGTTAATACAGAAATCTTTCGCTTCTATTTATAAATATTTTATAAACAACTGATAACAAAAGAAGCATACACGGACAAAGCAATGTCGATGCTATCTATATATACTGTGGACTTTCTGCTGAGATACACGTACATGTCTCATTACTGCTTGTACGTTAAACAAATTCAAGTGAATATCTTGCATTTCATTCATTGTTTTTATTAAAAATACATAATTTTACAATTGTTCGGCCTGGTCATTAACCGAAATTGCGAAATTTACCACACCTGACTAGATATAGCACTAAGACTACGAGCTACTGATTTTATCCAAAAGCTGTTAATAAATGAAACTTGGAATATATACCAAAACACAACAAACTCATGAACAAAAGCACCGTAGAAAAAATAACCTAGTTTTCGGTACAAGATGAAAACGATCCGCAGCATGCTATGCTTCAATGCTTCCATTAAAATAAATGATGTGGAACTTTAATCAGCTAAATTCCACACATTCGGAACCCACCAAGCACAAGACTGAGGTTAACGTCCTGAATGTATTGCTTGAATAGACATAATACAAGACGGGTGGGCAACATTAAGTCATTCTTTTAAATAAGCTTCTTGTAGATGATAACTAAGGTCTACATTCTACGTAGTGCATGTGCCCCACGTGTTTATTATACATGCAGTAACACCCAACAAAATGTTTACTCAAACAAAAGTTTGAAGGTGAAAATACGTATAGTTGTTTTTTTTTTTTATATATTTGTGTAAATATATTTGGCACTATAACGTTTTTGCAGAAACGCAAGTACCTTACCATTAGAAAAGTGAAAATAATAGTTCAAACTACATTACTGCAGTCACTATACAGGAACCTTATTATTGAACAGTTATCAGTTATTTTGGTGTATTTTGTACTTTTGTCCATCTGCCACAGGTGTCGCTAGCTACTGGTATACAAGATCCGAACCCCGAATCCTTTAAGCACCTAGCGACGCTTCTGCCATTTGCTAACTGAAGCAGATTTATTCGGTCTGATTTATAACTAACAAACTATCCAAACTGTTTACACTAATTTCTTATGACGAAAAGAAAAAGAAGGTAAACGGGAACTGTAACACTAAAACAACCTGTCAAAAAGTTGAAATGACCTTATACGTTGATATTACGAATATCCATTTTTTTAGGCGGTCTCAACAAACAATTGCTAGTAAATACTGGAATACAAACGAAAACTCTTACTCGTATAGCTGCCAAGCCTTAGTTAGGGCGTGATACTTAATGGGATGGCTCTATTTTCTCCACAATAACGCACAGTAGTCGAACTGTTAAGATCAATATTATTCTACACATAGTTGCTGCAACTCCTAATTATATTTTTCGTTTATAAGTAAACGATCATAACCAGGGCCCGATTTGTGAATGTAATATCTAGCCAGTGTGCGTGTGTAATAAACAGACAACAAAACAGCATCACAAGCCATGATACATCATGTGTAAATCCCTTTCAATATCTAGCCAGTGTGTGTGTGTGTGTAATAGATAGACAACAAAACAGCATCACAAACCTTGACACATCATGTATAAATTCCCTTAAATATCTAGCCAGTGTGTGTGTATAATAGATAGACAACAAAACAGCATCACAAACCTTGACACATCATGTATAAATTCCCTTAAATATCTAGCCAGTGTGTGTGTATAATAGATAGACAACAAAACAGCATCACAAACCTTGACACATCATGTATAAATCCCTTTAAATATCTAGCCAGTGTGTGTAATAGATAGACAACAAAACAGCATCACAAACCTTGACACATCATGTATAAATCCCTTTAAATATCTAACCAGTGTGTGTGTGTGTGTGTGTGTGTGTGTATATAACAGATAGACAACAAAACAGCATCACAAACCTTGACACATCATGTATAAATCCCTTTAACTATCTAGCTAGTGTGTGTGTGTGTATAATAGACAGACAACAAAACAGCATCACAAACCTCGACACATCATGTGTAAATCCCTTTTATCTTAGAGGATCAAAAGTTTCACAGTTTCACTTTTTTCGAAATTTAACGATTTTTATTTTAGCGTTTTCACCTTACAAGTGACCTAATGAAAAGAATGAAAATTATTTACAAAGCTACTTAATGATCTATTTATACTGTTCGTACCGCATGCATCGAAACCCAATTTTTAGCGCCATAAGCCCAGACTTACGAGTGTGCCATGGAGGAGCTATATGGTTGAGAACGATCCCCATGTTCAGGCCCAGTGATTTCTGTTGGATCTTTAATTTCGTAAGTAATTTTAAAAGTATTCAGGTTTTAGCTCAACAGACGCTGATTAGATTTTCAACTTTGGGTTTTCCATATTCTTCAAGACAGAAGCGCTTTTTTCGTTTGCTGCTACTGTAACCTTTTTTTACCATTTAAAAAGAGGCATGGCATGCTTTAGAATTCATTCTTTGGTGTTGTGTGTGTATTGGCCTTGTTATGCAAATCCTGGATACACAACAAGATATTACATATGAAATGGGCTATACTGCACATATGGACTCAGTTAAAAAAGATAAAGCGTCCCTATTATTAGTATATGTGGTTTGTGAACGCGATAACCGCTAAAATAAACATCGCGTGTAGAAAATGGGTTAAACAGTATCAGATATTTAAAATTTCTAAAAGAAAAGCATTATAAATTCAAAATCTTTAACCGAGGAGATGAAAAATATTTTCAATGGGATGACAACTGAGAGTTCAACCCAGAGGATATATAGATAAAAATAAACGGGGACAGGAAAATCACCACTCTCACCCCCCACGATTATATCGCACACAAATTTACTATCAGGAACAGATTACACGAAATGTTGCCACTGTGCAAACACCTCTAAATTTAGAAACTTTCTATTATTTAACAGTGCTAAGTGGAATTTACCGATTGTCCTGCTCTGGTTCTGTAAGTATATACCGACTCTATAATTCGTATATACATCTAATAAATCTCCGATTGTCTAATTTTCAAGACAAATGGCGTTGTCCCCCTCCCCGAATCTCACCGAACAAATTGCATGGTCCAATCTTGACGGACCAATTGGGGTTACGACCCAAATGCAGCTACGCGGATGTGCATGCGTAACAGTTTCCGAGATCATTCTGGTGTCTCCTGGTGAGACTGCGGCAAGTCTTCGGATTTACAACGCTAAAATCAGGGGTTCGGTTCCCCTTGGTGGACATAGCAGATAGCCCGATGTAGCTTTGCTGTAATGACATAAACACACTCATTCCGGCATGGCCAGGTGGTTAGGGTTCTCTACTCGCAATCTGAGGGTAGCGGGTTCGAATACCCGTCACACCAAACATGCTCGCCCTTTCAGCCGTGGGAGCGCTATAATGTGACGGTCATTCCCCACTATTCGTTGGTAAAAGAGTAGCCCAAGAGTTGGTGGTGGTTGGTGATGACTAGCTGCCTTCCCTTTAGTCTTACACTACTAAATCAGGGACGGCTAGCGCAGATAGCCCTCGTATAGCTTTGCGCGAAATTCATCACAAACAAACAAATATTCCGGCATCGGTTTTAACCCCCCCCCCCACCTCCTTTTTGAGTAACTACACCTCTCCTAAAATGAAACGTTTTCTGGTCTCCTAATGCAAAAATATAATTTCATAATCCAGTTTAAAGAAAGCATTTTCAGTTAAGTCAGCATATAAACGAAACGTACAAACAAAGGTCACAGTCGCCATCTTGGGACAGAAGTGAGAAATATTTATTATTCAATGACCTACATATTTCTGACAAGATTAACCTTTGCGAGGAGATTAAATATGTGGTAAGAACACACGCCAGTCTCCAAGGGTTCACTCGAATAACAGGTTAAAACTATATTTATGTTTTATCGAACCTATATTAGAATCTTCAAACAGTCAATATAACAACATATTGCTCATAAAAATAACAATTTTTCAAAGTAGATTCAACAAGTTTGTTTTACAACTGTGAAAGCGTTGTGTATTGTTGATGATTACGTTGCTGCGGTATTATTGAAAAAGTGCGATTAAATACCAGACAAATAGTTGTAGATAAACATGGTTAAACACAAAAGTCCAAAAGAGTCACAAAATAATATTTACATAGATATATGTAATCTACACTCCAGAACTATAACAAACCTATCTTGTTCTTCCGATTCGTCTTTGTCCAAGGTTATCGACCAGGGGTAGCACTACCCAAACTAGTATACCCCAGTGACAGGTGACCAATTAAACGATAGGTTGGGCTTCATATTCATTTTGAGCCTTCTATTTGTTAAACAATGTCAGATTCAATCAAACTAGAAAGCCAATAATTATAACAATGTGTTTTAATAAACTTTCATTCAATTAAGCTACTTTACCCACTTCAGAACAACGATATATAAATGTTTCAATAACAAAAACAAAAAAAAATGAAATGAAGGATGAAAATTGACGTAAGGACATCCGATTTGGAAAAAATGTTCTTAACTTATTACGTCACATTCTACAGTTATCAACTGGTTAATCGCAACCTTTCCTGTAGGTCAAATGATGAAATTGGGTCGACGTTTGAACAGCAAGTAGTTTTTGGATCAAGAATATATACATATTTTGGCAAGCACGTCGAACATTAGCACGATAATAGATTTCATTTCAAAATTCTTAGTACATAAATAAAAAACTTATCTTGCTTTTCTTGTTGTGGTTGTTTTAGTTTAAAAACGAACATTTTATCTTTCATTTCAAATTCACCGTGCAATAAAAAGTTCACAAACACAAAACGACACAAACCTCATAAAATATTATACTTTACACGTTAATAATTACATTCTATTGCTATGAACTTATTTATTCAAACAAACTGTAAATAAATTTTGACACTCGAAATAGAAATAGTACACGTGTAACCTTTCTTTATTAAATGTATTTATTTTCATAGAGCTATTATATGATATTTATACTTTATGCACATAATTTAGCCACGAGGACGAATAATTTCTCCAGTTGCATAGCTATTAGGATAGCCAAAAATCAACTGAAAAATCATTTTTTAGGTTTCTGAAAAAAGGAAAACTAGCTAGTATTCAAGGAAAGATATTAAAATTAAAGAGAGAGTATATTATCAGCCTAGTTCTTTGTCTTGAATAAATTTTCAAAATTGCAAGTCCACCAATTTCTTATTAACTTTCATTTTCATTAAGATATTGTCCCCAAGGTGGGTCAGCGATAAGTTTAAGGACTTATAACGCTAAAATCCGAGGTTCGATTTTCCGCACTGGACACAGCAGATAGAACAATGTGACTTTGCTTTAAAACAAACATTCAGTTTGTTTCTTTAGAG